TCCTTCTCTCTCTCTCTCTCTCTCTCTCTCTCTCTCTCTCTCTCTCTCTCTCTCTCTCTCTCCCCCCACCCCCTCCTTCCCCCCCGCCTGCCCTCCCTGTCTTTGCCGCTCGGACAGGAGGTCGGCGGAGGCTGAGGGGAGAACGACATGCGCAGCGGGATGGCGGCAGGCTATGTATCACCCACATTGACCGCAGGCTTTTTGGCCGCATGTGGCGATGATCATGCCCTCGGGGCCCGACCGCTGGGGCGAAGTGCGGCCAAAAAACCCCGTCATTTTTAATTCGTAGAATAATAGGCAACAAAACAATAAAAAGATTTGGGGTTGTAGGGTTCGAAAAACCCTACATCCACATGTTTTTATTTGTTTTTTTCAATTTTTGATGTTCTTTGAGATTTAAAAGAAAATAGAAAATGAAAAATACAAGTATTAAACCACTTCTACCTCCGACCCTTTTTTTGCCGAGCCTGAATTTTACTGCGCACCGAGTTTTGCCGAGCCTGCGCAGTTGCGTCTGTGAAAGAACATAAAAACGAAAAAAAAAGGAAAAAAGAAAAAAAAATAAGCACTTCCCTAACGCCGCTATATCCATCAGATGCATTCTACGAGGTGCCACTGTGACTGCGCCCTCAGTGAGGGCGTCTGCCCACTGAACACGAAACAAAGAAGAAGAAGAAAAAAAACATCCTTTATTCAGTGATTGCGGCCAGATACAGGAAGCTACAGTACTATGAAGAAGTGAGGCAGTTAGCTGCCTGCCATGGAATCCTCCCTGTCTCACTGGCAGGGCACGTAAGGAAAAGAAGACAACAAAAAGAAAAACGAAAACATCAGCAATCGTTTTTCCACATGTTCTGGCCAGATACATTCCTCAAAGCACTGGTCTGACTTCCACGTCCGTGAGGGCCTTCCCCAACGTGGCTGGATTTGAACTCTTTTAGTTTTTTTCCTTTTCTTTTTGTTTTTCAGAAAAGGCTGCCTTGCCTGCCCCGAGGCATCAGACTCTGACGAGTAGGCTACTAGATGGACTTCGCGTTTGCCTGTGAAAGGTAGTGGTGGTTTAAAATAAAATAAAAACATAATGAAAAAAAAGGGAACTGTTTTTTTTTTCCATTTTTTTCTGGTTGCTGGTGGAATAATCATGGTGCACCTGTTTCTTTGATTCCTTTTTTTTCCCTACATAATATTGACTCTGTGACCCTACATCTCCCATGTTGACCGCGGCCACCTCCCATGGGAGATGTAGGGTCACCCATCTTAATTTGATTCTTTTTTTTTACCCATTCATTCAAGATACATCCGGCAGAGGGGGTGCAGAAGCCTACATAGGGATCTCCCATCTTCCCTTGCCCTCCGCCCACCTCCCCTCACCCCTTTGACCCTACATCTCCCATGGGAGATGGGAGATCCCATGACGACCTCCTCTCCAACCCCGTCATTTTTTCTGATTGCTGGTGCCCGCAGTGACCGCGGCCGCGGGTGTTTCATAGGCGGGAGGGCGAAAGCGAGG